AAAAAAAAAAAAAAAAAAAAGGAAAGAAAAGTCACAAAAGTTGACACATCACTTTGGACAAGAAACATTACAATAGTTTGGCAACTTTTCACCAAACCCCCCCACCCCAACTCTGTGATGTCCCTCTGTAATTCGAGGTGATCTCTTAAAGGTGGGGACATGAGGGGGCTGCAGGTGTATCACTGCATGTTAATAGGGGATCTCCTCTGCAAAGGATCTTGTGGGGTCAGACAAACCTACCTGCTTGGTACAGTATGAAAGAAATTCTGCCTGAAGCCCTCCCTGTGAGAGGGAAGGAGACAGAGCCCACACTGCTGGAGACAAACAAGGCAAAGCTGAACTTGGCAGCGGCAAGTCCCTAAACCTTGTGACTTTGTAGCAGGCTAAGATATGGCCATGGCAGGGTACTGGAGGGGAAGATGTCACCACTTTTCCACTGTGGAGAAGTGTAAAGGACAGAACGATCACTCTATCACTATTTTGGGTGAACACAGACCTCTTTGTTTATGCATGCAAAGTAATGGGCTTTGGAAAATACCAGGAGCCCACAAGTAATAGTATTACCAGTGAGACCTGTGTCAGATGGACACACAACTCTCCTCCCCTCATATCTAAACTCAGCTCTTAGGAATTGAACAAGGAACAAATACAAAGCAAGGATGGAAAAGTTTGTGTGGGTTTTCAGAAGTGGTTGTTTTGTTCCTCCTTTTAAAGCCCTATTCTTCAGATTTGGGGGAGAAAGGGGGAGCACTGCAAGGTCCCTGTACATTTCTGGTGGCAGACCTGGGTGCAAGAAATGGCACAGCTCAAATATGGACCTTCCCACCCACAGCAGCCTGTGGAAGGTGAGATTGATTACAAGGGCCTGAGGACCTGAACAACCTTCACAAAGGCTCCAACAGGGAATCTGGCCCAGCCATTGTCAGAAAAATTCAATACAGTGCTGGCCAAGAAAATAAAACAAATACTTGTGGAAAGGACTATCCAGCTGGAAGAGTCTTCTCCTTCCTCGGTTTCCAGGGTAAGAGAAAAGGCTTTGGTTATGACCAGAATTATTTGCCATTGGCAGGACAGGCTTGGCTTTGCATTAGCTTGGTTATTGTACAAGGGCTGGGTTGCTCTGCGGAGAGATGCTCTGCCCAGCTGGACTGCCCTGTGACATCCGGGAGTTTAATGGAGTGGACACTTGAATTACATCCGGGATCCTCGCTCCTGAAGAATCTGGAACAGGAGAGACCTTCTGTGAAAACCTCTGACAAGTTTAAATGCAAAAGTTCCTGTTCAGAGTCCTTGTTTTTTGCAGAGAAAGGAAACACAGACTAATGTGAGAGCAGCTTGCAGGCTTTTGTGCCACCACAACAACTGATAGGCTGGTTAAGGGTGAGCAAGCCCCTTCTCCAGAATCCTGCTCAGCTGCTTGCCAGGTGGTAAAGATGTTGCCTTTTGTTTCTATTCTGGGGAAAAAGTGGATTCATAGAATGGCTTGGTTTAGAAAGGACCTTAAAGCTTATCTTGTTTGACCTGTCTGCCATGGGCAAGGACACCTTCCACAAGACCAGGCTGCTCAGAGCCCAAACATCTTGTTTCTCCCTGCAACATCCTTCAACCATAAAACCTGACTACAAAGCTCCATGCTATGCTGTTCTCCCTCGTCAAGTTACTCTTTCCTTCAGTATTCTGGTCTTAATTTGAAGTGCACAAAGAGCCTTAGATCTTGTCCTACAGTAAATCATGAAACCTTCCAAGAGGGGATGATATAGAAGGTAGTGGGAAAGCTGATCCACAGAACTACTGCTGCAGCTTGGTGTAGGAAAGGTTCTTCTTTTTAGGGGAATTCAAATTGATACATCTGAGCAGGCACCTTACCTTGGCCTTCTCGCTTGGCTCCTTGACAATACCATTGGTTGAATTGTTGAGCTCCCTGGACACAACACAGAGGAATTCTGCCTGGTCTTCGTTTCCATAGTTATAGGAAGATCCAATGCTGATCAGCTGTGCAACAGGAGACAGCCAAGGTAACTATCAGTAAGTTTTGATTTTATTCCTACAGTTACTGTGAGATAGACCTATGTCAGGAGATCTGTTCTGGATGAAGTGTCTCCTGCAGCATCCTGTGTGTGTGTAAGGCAGGGACACATCTGAGCTCCACAGCTCTCTAGTGGCACCTGGAGCCCCAGGAAGGAATTCCAGCTTGAAATTAATACTGAATACAGCAGAACAATGCCCAGTTTCTGAGGGAGGAAAAAGGGAAAACAGATTGTACAATATATAATATTCAGTTCACTCAGACGTGGGCAGACATTGCCAATTGCCTGGTCCTTGCTGAACTCAGCTCTCAACCTGCCTTGTGACTGATGTGGAAATGGGAATTCTTTACCCCAGGCAGATGTTAGATTAACTGGGAACATGTGGCAAACAGACACTGTCCTTTATGTGGATGCTGCCAAGATGGAGTCTGGTATCCCCGTAAATGGGATTATATTATATTATATTACTGTTGTGTTGAGGGGGGTCTGGACTCAATCCAAGAAATCCCATCTGTCTCATTCATCATTATTACATTAAAAGGACATCCTGGAGTGCAGAGCTAATTTGTCATTTACAACTCAGTTCTGCTTTCCAGAAAATAAATCCAAGTCATCTGAAGAAAGCATTGTGACTCTTAGCAACTGTGTGTATCCAGGAAACTTTAACGTGCAGCGTGCACCTTAACTTCCAAGTCTTAATAGATTTTAGAAAAGAGCCAGCCCCATATTTATAGATTACAGATTTGAAAAGTAAGATTAGGAAAGATCTAAGGGTGCAGGTTCCCATGAAAGTCACTGCCTGTAGCCTCAAGGTTTTGGGGGTGTACATATGGATGTGTGAAAGGCAGATTCTGTAAAATGTTGGGCAGCAAAACCTGGATGTTGGAGAACTGCATTTCCATGGAACAGTGAGTGATTCTTGGTCACAAGATTTCACTGTCTCCTCACAGGTGCAGGTTTTTGGCTGCCTCTCCACTCTGAGATAGTTTTCAGGCATTACAGAACATATCCATAGGAACAACTGATGGGAAGTGCTGTTCCTAATCCTCTGCCTCACTTCATCTCAGCACATTTCCCACAGCATCCACTTGTACTGAAACTGGACTAAGCGGGAAGACATTGCTGTAATCCACAGAGCCTCTTCTGTGGTTTCTTAATATAACATACCACACAGGCCAGCTGGCTCCAGTTCTCCCTCCTCAGAAATAAGACAACTGTGTTTGATTCCAGAAACCAAACCTGGAACTAATGCCATATGCAACTGCAGTGACACCCAGTCCTGGAACTAGCTGCATTGCACAGATATCTGCAGGAAGTTCTCATGTCACTCAGTGCCACTTTAGCAAATGCAGCAGTCGTGGCTTTGAGGTTCCAAGAAAGTTGTGCAGTGTTTTTTCATGGCTCTGGTAATTTTCCTGGATAAAACTGTTATACTGTGGCCTGGTGTATGTGATGAAATGCAGAGAATGGAAGAACTGCTCTGGGATTTGACAAGGAGACAAGTCCTGAGAGAAAATGAAATCTCTCTGGCAGCTTGAGTGACTTCTGCTCTCTCCTGTCAGTAACCAGACACAAGTGGATTGATGCTCAGGTAAGACTGCTTATTCAGAAGAGCAGACCAGTGTGAAGTGCAACTCAACAGGCAACTCTGCTTATTCCATATCCAGTTTGCAAAGGAATTCTACCATTCTTTGGTAGCGGTACCTGTTCAAATTTCCAACCGTCAGACATGGTGGACACCATCTGTGTGAGCTCTTCCTCTTGGCACTGCAGCACTCTGTACACGTGTTTCACAGGTCCCTGGAACACAGAGAACAATTGTTGTAGTTTAGTAATTGCTTTATTATTATCCCTCTAGGAAGTTAATAAGGTGCTCCTGCTCTTGTCTAAGGAAGTCAGAGCCCCACAGGTTTTCTAAGGGCTTTTTTATCCCACTGATTTCAAGACAACCATATGCCTGGCACTCTTCTCTTGAAAGCTTTCTAGGTGTCTGAGCTACAGTGAAAGCAAAACTTCTTTAGCTTTCAAAACCATTTGCTGCTTTTTGAAAATGTTTCTGAAACTGAATCTACTAGGTGTGCTGATACCAGCTGAGCATCAACGGGAAAAATGTCACAGAGAGACAAAGGGAAGAAATAGTTTAGAGAAGGAAGAGTTTGAGCTGTTCTTTACCAAAGCAGTATGTTTTGCTTTACAACCACCTGTTCCTGGTGGTTGTTCTGCTCTCGGCCCCTCTCCTGTAAGTGTCCCTTGCCTTTCCCTACAGTACTGAGATGACTCAGTGGTCTGTGCTTTATAAAGCCACACTGGAGACTCTTTCCTAACCATGCCCTGCATTCACCTAACAGCATTTATTCCCCTGTTACTTCTGAATCAAATAAATGCTCCTGCAAGGGCCTGCAGCCATGCTTGTCCTCCTGTGCCACAGAAGTGACTCGGTAACCCAGAGGTGCATTACTTGAGAGGTTCTGTTCTCGTTGTCGCGGATCCGCTCCTTCACCAGCCGCACGAGGGATGCGATGTTGTAAAACTCAGCCTCTTCCAGCACCCCTGAACAGGAACCCAAAGCACAAATTCTGTTACTTTGCACAGGGTAGAATGAAGATGATTCTGTCATAAGGATGCAACACCTGCTCCTGACTCTAAATCTAGCCCAAATGTCAGAATCCCAAATGTGCCACCCACCTCCTGCTCCCAGGCTATGAGAAAATGCCTGACTAGCTGTCACCTACTTTTGTGACTTAAGAGGATCCTTAAGAAAGATTATCCCCATTTCCTTGGGATTATCAGAAATCTCATGGTACAATGTCTATTTCTTCACCCAACCCCATCAAGGGAAGGCCCTCAGAGCTGCCTGTTTGGGGAGAACCATGGTCTGTGAGGGGCAGATGGCCTGTAGCAGACCTTGGGCTCAGCAGAACAGTGACAGGGTGTGCTGTGAGCTGCAGCCTCTGCTTTTGGGAAGACACAGAATTTGATGACTTAATCCCTGCTAATGAGCAATTAACATTACTAACAGCACTCATGGGAAACTTGCTCACACCTTCACACCAGTCTTTGGTGAAGGCTCCTGGATGTGCTATCAAACAGCACTTCCAGCCTTTCCTGGTGTTTTTCTCCTACCTTCCTCTGCAAGCTCCTTGTTTATGATGAGCTTCCCGTGCCGGAGGTAGTTCAGTATCGGACCGAAGTATGTGGGGTCTCTGTCAATGAGATAGGCCCCCGTCTCATCCTGAGAACAAAACAGGGATGGCTCAGTGGTACCAGGAAAAACTAATTTCAATCTAAAACAAGAAATTGAACAGCTTCTCTTTGGGAACCTGGATTCATTTTCCTGTGGGAGGTGTACAAATGATGCCATATTTAAACCATTTTTCAGTATCTGATTTACAAACGTTGCAGCCCAGTAACGCTGGCAGTTGCCTTACATGAAGCACCTGTACACACATTTTATGTACCTGGAGAAAAAAGCTGGGCTTGGAAGGGTTTTTCACTGCAGTAAGAACCAGAACCTAGAAGTTGTGTTCCAGCTAAGCTTGTTCTCCAGACTAGTTTAGCTAGGAGTCTCTGGAGGAAAATGAGATCTCCAGCTGTAGCTAAGGGCACCTGACAGCCAAAACAGTTCATTTTTTTTTTCCCTTTCCACTACTGCAAACACACATTGCAATGCTCCAGCCATGGGTCCAGCAATACAACAACTCTTGGCATTAAATAACCAACAATTGACAGCCAAAAGTATCTCTTGAGCAGCTTTGAAGCACTGACAAGCCCTCTGCAGAACGCTCACATCCCTCTCTTAAATGACTTTAAAGCATTGTTTCTCCTGCTAATCTACTCTAAAGCAGTAAGAAACTGTGCAAACCCACTCTGAAATATCTCCTCTCCTCACTGATGCTGCTGACTGATATTTCGATCACAAACATGATTTATCTTGTGATTAAACTCTGGCTGACCCACTCACAATGTATTTACAACACCTTGTACAGCTGATCCTATGGAAAATCTGCACTTGCAAGAATAATTGTTTGCAAAATCCTTACACTAAACAGCAGTGACTTCAGAACTGTCCAGCCATGCAAAGAATGTGCACCATGACTTTTTATGAGAGTGCAGTATGTCAAAAAACAAAAACAACAACAAACATGTTCAGGGTGAGGAATTGTAACATTCCTGTTTCTAGGACTTTCCTTCCCCGCTGTAACTGCTGTGGGCAGGTGGGTTGCTCCCTGAGCAGAGTCCATGTGAGGCCTGTGGCATGTGGGTGTCACAGGTGTCACAGGCACGAGGGCAAAGCCAAGTCCCGTTCCTGGGGATGCCATCACCTCCCCGGCCGTGGGACACGAAGGAAAGCCGATGATGTGTCAGAGTGACGTGCCCCAGATCCGCGGGAGAACAGCCCAGCCGGGGCAAGGGGCCGCACAGGAGGCTCGGGGACAGCGCTAGCCGGGGGTGTCCCCCCGCCCGTGGGACGAGTCTGGGCACCTTGGTGACACCGTGGGGGCTCAGGGAGGGGCTGGCAGGGTGTGTGGGGGGGGAGGTCCCGGCCCCGCCGCGGCCTCACCTTGTCGGAGCCGAGCTCGGGCCCGTCCTGGCAGCAAAGACGGCACAGGAAGGACTTGGGCTCCCGGCACAGCGTCTGCCGGGTGCTCACGAAATACGTGCCTCCCACGTTCAGCCGCACCCACTTGGAGGCGGCGGCGGGCGGGGACATCGGCCCGGCGGAGCCCGCCGCCGCTCCGGCCGCGCGGGGGCTGGGCGGCCCCGGTGCCCCCCCGGGGCCCGGGCTGGGCGTGCGGCCCCTCGGCGGCCCCTCGGCCATGGCGGAGCCTCAGCGCCCGCCCGCCGCCATGGCCGCTTCCGGCTGCGCCGCTTCCGGGGATGATGACTTCCTGTGGAGCTGCGTTCTGATTGGGCGAGGGGCGCGGAGGGGGCGGTGCTTCCGGCGACGGCGGCTGCGGTGTCGGTCAGTGAAGGTGAGAGCGGGGCCGGGAGGGGGAAAGCGGGGCTGGGGAACGTGACGGGCTCCCGGAAAGGGGTCCCGCGGAGCGGGAATCTCTAGGGGTCTGGAATCTCGAGGTTGGGGGACAGGATAGGCCGGGGACGTCCTCGGTGTTGGGAGGCTTGTGGGAGAGGATGGGGGCCAGTGTGAGGTCGCCGCAGGGCTCAGGAGCGACCCCCGTGTCCCGATCCCCCAGCGTCCCCGTTCCGTGAGCCGACCCCTTCCCGTGTCCCCGTCCCCCGTGTCCCGATCCCCCAGCGTCCCCGTTCCGTGAGCCGACCCCTTCCCGTGTCCCCGTCCCCCGTGTCCCGCCCCCTCGGTGCCGCCCTCCCCGGCCCCGCTCCCCGCCGGCGCTGGGACCCACCGGTGTCTCCCGGGCCAGGCGGAGCCATGGCGGGACGCAAAGCTGCCCTTAAAGCCGTGGACTGGGCGGCCTTCGCCGAGCGAGTGCCTCCGAACCAGCGAGCCATGTTCAATGCGCTGAAGACCCGCAACGATGCGCTGACAGCCCGGTGAGTGCCCGCCCGGTCCCACAGGGCCCGCTCAGCCCTCGCCCAACCACCCAGCTGTGAGTGCTGCTGTCTGTCGCTCTCTGGTCCCGCAGGAGTGTCCTCGCAGGTATTAAAGCAGGTCACCTTGAGGCAGCTGGTGGCTTTTTTTGGCAAATCACCTTTAGTTAATCTTCCCCAGAGTAAACCCGTAGCTGCAGTTCTGTGAACGCACTTCACTTTGGCACGAGTTTGTCACTGTTAAATGCTCTACAAATTCACGTGCGGTTCTCAAATCCTGTAGCATCTTCTGTCTGATAGAGTGCTGGCTGTTGCAGAGAATGTTGCTAATCGCCTCTGGCTCAATGTTGTGAAACAGCTTTGCTCTTCCTTAAGGACTGCACTCAGAGGGGCAGAGTGAAGTGGGGCAAAACTGCAGGCTGAGCTCTGCTTGTCTGTCCAGAGGAGCCTGTTCCAAGGGCATTTGCAAGAAATGGTTTGTTTCAAACCTGAAAGCACCTAAACTAAACATAGTAGGCTGTGCTCATGTCAGCTGTGCTCCATCCCTTCAGGCTGGCTGCGCTGCCAGAGAAGCCTCCGGCCATCGACTGGGCTTTCTACAAAGCTAATGTTGCCAAAGCTGGAATGGTGGATGAGTTCCAGAAGAAGGTCAGTCTCCTTGCCAGCTGGGTATTGCTCTTTGGAGTTTAACTGGGGAATTGAGAGGAAAGCACCAGGATTGGTAGAGGAGGTTGGTTGTGTCACTATGAAAATTTGCCTCCCAAGACTGGAGGCACTCGCTGAGCTCCAGTGAATCTGGGAGCTTTGTGTTCGGGGCAATAACTCTGTGATAGGGTAAATCTGGGGTTAGACCTTCCAGCTTCCTTACATGCTGTGAGAAATGGGTGGTGTGTGGTGGGCAGGACAGAGGAGATGGCTGCAAGCTCCTGGGTGAGCAAGTGCTGCTTGTGGGGGGACAGAGGACAGCTTTACTGACCACTTCTAGCTCGTTAACTTACATGGTTGTGAGCAAGTCCTAGGAAGAAAGGAAGGAAGGCTCCCCTGCTGTTAGGGAAGATTACCTCAACGTGAAGGATTGTTTCAGTCAAACAGACCTTACAAAAATTGTCTTTCAATTTACAGTTCAGTGCACTAAAGGTTCCTGAGCCAGTGGATACACAATCTGCCAAGATTGATGCCCAGGAGAAGGAAGCTGTAAGTGAACTGTTCTCTACTGCTGGGGTTGTCCCTGCCTTTTGTGGGGATAGGAAGGGGTGAGAGGGAGGGGATGTTCTGGATGTGCCCCTGCATGGGCAGAGCAGCCTGAGCCAGGGCACAGCTCTGCCCTTCACACATGTCCCTGGCTTTCTTAGCAAGGGGATCCCTGCACAGGGAAGGGTTTGGCTGTTTGGGATTTGCTGGAGGTTCTATTGTTTACCCAGTGTAACAATGATGGATTTTAATGCAAATTGAAAGCATGGGGGGTGCAGGTTCATGCTGGGTCAGTGTCCTTATCATAACCACACTCCCCCCATCCTCTGCTCTCCCCAGGCCAAGAGCACTGCTGAGTACATCCAGGCTTCCAAAGCCCGCATCGCCCAGTACGAGCAGCAGGTGAGGCTGGACTTTGTTTAGGGAATATTCTCTGAACCCCACCCTGTCACACTCCTTGCTCTCCTGGGTGTGCTTTGCTCTTTCCTGCTGACTTCTGATGTGTCTGTCCCTGCTTCCACAGCTCCAGAAGCTCAAGAGCATGATTCCCTTTGAACAGATGACGTTTGAAGACTTGAGTGAAGCCTTCCCTGAAACTAAACTGAACAAGGAGAAATATCCATTCTGGCCCCACAAGCCAATAGCTGATCTGTAAACTGATCAGGGAGTAGTTTTATGACTGTCAGACTGGATGATCTTCTAAATAAAGAGCTTTCTCTGTCTGTGGCTTAGATCTTAGATATGAGTTCTGAGTAATATGGAGCAATACAATAACTCACAAACATTCCACTTTTCCTGGATTTTGTGTGTTCTACCCATGAGCTTGTTTTGGTAGCAAGGACCAAGCTCCCTATCCTGCTGATCAATCTGAGCCCTGTAAAATGCAAATAAACCTCCTGTTCCTCTCTGTAACCAGCAGGTGCAGGAAATTGAGTTCTCTTGCCCCTGCAGGCAGACACTTGCTCAGAAGTTGAACATGTGTAGCCCCTTGAGATGCTGAAGTGCATTTGGCAGTGATTTGTGTGTGTCTGCAGTGTCTTAGGACTTCTGCAGGCACAGGTCTGGGGCTGTTTTTTGGGCTGATTGTGATTGATTAGGAGAAACCAATTGCAAAAAGAGTTGAAGGAGTGTTGAGATGCACACAAAAGGAGTTACTTTTTTAGTTCTTATTAAAAACACTTAATCCTGGTGCTCCTTTTCTCTTTGCCCTGGATTTCTGAATGCTGCTGATCTCACTGGAACTCACAGAAACAGTAAAGACTTGCATTGTTTTATTTAATAATCTGAGGTGGAATTCTTAAATACCTTCCTTGAAGATGGAAACTCCTCTAAGGGAAGGCAATCAACTCTCTTTCCTCTTGGTCATGTTTGAGGTCAGAATTACAGATAGGTAGAAGGAAGATTGTACAACTATTTTATTTAAATACCTTAGTAGCCCACAGAATACTTCAAGAACATCTGTAGTACTACTGAACCAGAATACAAAGCACTATGCATGCTCATCTTGGGTCCTCTGGCTTTGGATTTTAATTTAATTTTATTCAGGCAACTGAACTGCAGCTCTGTGAATTGAGCAGGAGCAAATTACAGCAGGGGGTCAGAAGCAGCACAGTACAGAACAATGGAGCTGGCACTGGGCAGAGCTGATCTTCAGCTGCTCCATTTTACAGAAATCACAGTAAAAAAGAACAGGGACAAGAAGAGGTGGCTATAGAGAAGCACCTTCTCCAGAACTGGCAGAAATGGGTCCAGCTCCTGCAGCTGCCAGAGGCGTTTGTTCGGCTGCCCTTGTCCCTGGGCCTTCTTGGGAGGGTGCAGCAGTTGGGGACCTGCTTTGGCCAGGTTCCCTGGGGGTTTCTTGGGCAGCTTGTGTGGATCTGCAGGGAGCAAAGGGCAGTGTCAACACAGCAGGGCTACCATGGCTCACACAGCCTGGGGCACTGTTTGCTCTGAGGAAACCCGCCCTGGCTCCAACAAATGTGCAGGAAAATGCCCCAAACCTACTCTGTTAAAGTGTTTTACCTTGCTGGAAGCTTCTGAGGACCTTGTCCAAGCGCAGGGATTTGCGCTGCTGGTACAACAGGAAGAAGGTGTCTAACACAGCCATGATCATGAGCAGGAAGGTTCCCAGGAAGAACACCACTGCAGAACAACAGGAAAACAGAAAGCTCTGAATAATTGGCATTTTCTTACATTCCATTGCCTGGTGGGGAACAGGGAAAGTCTAACTCCAGCAAGCCAATGAAACTTAGGTGTTCATGACTTCAGCGTTCACGAACATGTCTACAAACAACCAAAGGCTCTCCTTAGGGCTGGTAGCTGGGTGAAAATCAGGGTTTATTCAATAAAGGTGGATACCTATTATAGGTGGTTTGTTGGAGGAAGTAGGGAGGCTGTTGTTGAGAATCACAGCCAGCATGGAGCTGCCAAGGATGATGGCAATCTGGAAGTTGATTTTCTCCTCAAGAGAGCTGGGACCAAACAACACAGCCATGTCCAGCAAGTATAGAGCACATGTTGGGAGGATCAGGTTCAGAATATAGAGAGTGGGTCGTCTCTCCATGGAAATCTGTTGAGGAAGATGGGTAAAATTTGATGAGCAGGAGGTGACTCAATGTGTTGACAAATGCTGGTCCCTTAATGTAAAAAAGTATCTTGTTATATACTGGGTTTTTTACTGCCAAATCAGTGCAATATAATAGGGAAGTGCTGTCATACCACGTAGGTGACCACAGAATATCCTTTGTCATCCAGAATTTCCGTGTATTCAATGATGCTCAGGTTGGTGAACTTCCATTCTCCATCAGTTAGGAGGAAACTCTGGCTGTCTTTCATGATCTCAGCTGGTGTCCGTCTCATCTTCATGACAAAGTCTGTTACTGCTTGGGCAGGAGGCAGAGGGGGAGGGAAGTTGAAGAATTTAGGAATTTGTTAGAGGTCAGTTATTCCTCTCCCTTTCCCACCCAGCTGAGGGTGTGTGCAGACAGGGAAAGGAGAGGTTTCATGCACTGCTTGGGTTTCTCAGCCCATGAAGGAGAAACAAAAAAGGTCTCTGTGAAGAGGCTTGGCTGGACCTCTGGGAATGTGGATCAGAGAGGAAACATCTGGTGAATTAGGGCA